AAAATTATTAAGCTTTTTATTCAAAATATTTTTATATTTCTGATATGAGGCAAATTATGCTATCTTCTGTCTTTTTGTAGGACTATAATGATGAGATTAGGCAAGCACAGCTTCAAGAATTAACATATTTAAATGGTGGTTCAGAAAATGCAGATGTTCCAGTGGTTCGAGGAAAACCTACCTTGCGTACAAGAGGTGTACCAACCCCAACAATAACCAGGTAGGTGCAATTAATTGACTTACCTTTTTTTTGTAGTTTAGGGTACCATGGCAACAGTTTTAGTGTTTCCTTTATTAATAGCCAGAAACATCTCTATCAGTATATCTGTACAAACCTATATTCAGCCAAGCATATTGGCACACGCCTATGGTCTCAGCTTTTCGGGAGGCTGAGGCAGGAGGATTGCTTGAAGCTAGGAGTTTGAGAACTCCGTATGCTATCATGGCCCCTATGAATAGCCACTCCACTATAGCCTGGGCAACATATTGAGACCCTGTTTCTGAAAATATATATTTTAGCATTAATTTTTTACAGCGTGAATTTTTTAATTTGTTAAAATGAGTCTTGTTTTTAATGTAAGTAATGACATTGATATGCAGATTAGGATAATGGTCTCCTGTGTTTTCCCACTGAGTGTAGCTTCAGGCTAGTTTAAGGCCACACTACCAATGCTAAGCACAGTGTCAGGCACCAAGAGTGTGTCCAAATGCCTGTTATCATTTTAGTCACGGTAAATGCTCTGTGATATCTAAAATTCTCGAGCTGGACCAGGGACATAGAATTTTTGTTAAGTCATTGGAAAGAAGTAATACAATTTTTTTCAATTAACCTAGTGACCATGTGGATTTCTTTTTAGATAGAATTTATATTGAAGTAATTTAAAATAGCATTCTCGTGTATCTCCAAGTTCATATGAGAAAACAAAAAGTCAAATTCCTCTACTGAATATTACTGATCAGAGCAGTGTCAGAGCAGTTATAAATGGTACTGCCATGTAAAATAAACATAGGTCTGGGCATGGCACAGGCAGATTTTCTCTGTTAAAAAAGACCTAATAATAATAGGGTAGCTGTTGATGATTTCAACATCACCATATTGTAAGTGATAAATCTCTTTCATTTCCGTTTCTTCTCCCATTAAATTTACTTGCAATCATAAGAAATTACTTACCTGCTATATTGGTGTCCTGTGGCTGCTATGACAAATTACCACAAATTTAGTGGCTGAAAACTGTAGAAGTTTATTCTCTCATAGTTCCACAGGCCATATGTCCAAAATCAGTGTCAGTAGGCCAAAGTAAAGGTGTTGGGAGAGCCGTGCTCCCTGTGGAGGCTCCAGGGGAGAATCCTTCCCTTATCCCTTCCAGTTTCTGGTGACTACCAGCATTCCTTGACTTGTGGCCACATCACTCTGATCTGTCCCCCATCTTCACTCTCCCATCTCCTGTCTGTCTCTAATCTCTCTCTGCCCCCCCTTTTATAAGGACTCATGTGGTTATATTTAGGGCCCACCTCAATGATCCAGGATAGTCTTCCCGCATCAGGATCCTTTTTCACATCTGCCAACGTCTTTTTTCTAAGTCAGATAACATGTACAGGTTCCTGGGATTAGGACAGTATAATTTTGAGAGTCCTAATAATATGCCTCATACCACATTTGCCATGTTACTTTTATCTTTATTGTGATGGGAGCTAGTACCTTTTACTGAAATATGCCAAATAGAACAAAAATATATTTTAAAAACTTTTTTGAAAGTCTTCGAACTCATCCTATCCCTACATTACCAGTTTATATTTGTTTGTTTGCACATGTATGGAGCAAATAGTATGTGTTCGTAATATGTGCTTTATTGATGCCATAGCAGATACACACCTCCCAATCAAGGCATATTTCCTTTCAATTGATATGTATTTTTTTTCTAACAGCTACAAAGTTGTTAGGAAATACATATATAAGTTGTTTGGGCCTCATAATTCAGTTACCAGAATTGTTACTTATTATTTTGGCCTCAGGTAAATACCGTAAAAGAAATTAATGAGACACTGAGGATATTGTGAACTGAGAAAGTTTGGGAAACTATCCTTATGTTATTGCCCTGTAGGCCTCTGAGGCTCTGTTCATTTTTTGTCATCTGTTTTATCTGTTTTCCAAACCAGTCTGTCTTGAGCTGCCTGTTTCCTTTGTATTTTCTATCCTGTGATTAAACCTATCCAATGATATTTTTATTTCAGATA